CTGGATTAAAAACAAAAGTTCATTGTTGTTTTTTATATAAGTGTACAATATTGATTAAAAACGCGATTAAATCTTCGTTTTTTTGCTATGATTGTGATTTTTTTTTTGTCACAATTGACTTATAATTGATAAATCGACGCCTACGTGGAGACTCTTAATTGGGTTAGGTGGTCAACTGAGGTCAAATGACAAATCGACGTTTCGGCAGAGATCGTTAATTATATTATATTTTAATTTTTAAATATTAAATATTACATATCTTCTAACAAAATTAATAAATACGATAGTTTTTTATTGTTATTTTTTATTTTGGATATAAAGTAATTTATTATAAAATTTATTCAAATATTTATATATCCTTAGAAAATAAATATTTGAAAATTTAAAATTTTGGTTTAGTATTCGAAATTTAGAAAATTTAAAATTGATGATGTAATATTTGAAATTTTAAAATTTTAAAAAATAAAACCTATTGTCTAAAGTTGTCATTTTTGTTTACACGACAAAACCTAAAATTGAACTTTTTGGAGTCCTTTTTGAACTTTTTGAATACAATAATTTAAGTCAAAATATATAGTTCATATTTATATGTAGATTTACTTCCTGCTTTCCTGCTCCACACAAAACTTTTTTGTCAAATTGAAATGTACAGCTTGTATTCATTCAGGTCACCGAGTTATAGTGATTTAAGCTTTTTTAAAATCCTTAACCATAATTAAGATATATTATAATAAGTGAAATATGTTGCAGTTGTAATTCAATTTATTATGAAACTTGGTTCTCAGAAAACACTCAACTTCAACTTTAATAATCTAATTATTTAATAAATATAACAGAAACTTAATCTTTAATCGTCTTATTATTGAACTCTTTCCTCTACATCGGTTTTGGTCCATAAAGCATACTTTATAACCCTCTACACATCTAATTATTTTTACACCTTTTAATAAATAAAACTACATTAATGTACTTATGTTTATCAATGGGTTAAACAAAATTGTATCCTTTATACCTAATAACGATAAGGTAAAAACTAAAATTATGATTTAAGACTCGCTACATAACTAAACCTAATTTTATATAAACTCAAACAGAATGTGTTATATAAATTTCATGAAATTTGTTACAACCCTCAACACATCTATATCTAATTCAATCTTTAAAAGCTCTAACAAAAGATTGTGAAGATAGGAATTTACAAAAAAATTGTGAAGACAGGTAATATATTTATCAAAAACATAATTTACAGCGCTCTACGCATCTATATCCCATTAAATCCATGAGAGCTCCAGAAATATTGTAAAGATAGGAATTGAAGGAAAACTATAGAGATAGTTAAATATCTTTGTCAGAAAATCAATTAAAGGCTACATATTTCTTATATCAGATTCAAGAGACAATCATTTTTATTTCTTGGATTACTTCATGTTTTTAGGCTTTTGTAACCTTGTCAATCCCTCCCGACCTTATGTAAATCTCTTGTTGTCAACCTTCAAAACCAATTGAAGTTAACAAATATGGATAGTAATTAAGATCAAGATAAAAAAATTCAGTAATCTAAATCTGCAACAACTTGTTCAGAATCATAGAAAAAAATAAATATCAAAAGCAATTGTAAATTGTTAAAATGTATTAAGTTCATCTTCAGGATATGTTCAGAAAAAAATTATAACCATTTAAGAGGAAGTGGAAAAATAGAGGACCTACTCCATCATGATCACCAAAGCTTGCATCCTTACACCCTTTAACAAAGGTACGACTACCCTTTCCACCATAGCTTAAATACCATCCTCAACCAAGACCCTTGTTCATGATAATAACCAAAGATTATATAACCACCATCAGACAACATTTGGATCTTGCACCCATTCCATCATTATGTGAAGGCATTTTTCCTATTTCATATGGGACACATTCCTTTTCCAAAACCTTAAGCAAATCTAAGGCATTGTATACATCTTAGTCACCAAAAAGGGATGAGACTTGGCACTTACACATGTAGGATGATAATGTTTGTATCAACATTGTTGCTGGTCTCATCCTCGCGGCTTCAAATGTCACTGTTTAAAGTAGATCTAGATCCCAAGCTTGTTTGACTGTTTTAACAAAACAACATCGTTAGAGAAGAGTAAACGTATGTAGGACCGGAAACAGTCCAATCTAAAGCTGCCCCTGGAAAACTAGGGAAATCTGTGACAACCCGATATTTCAACTCTATGTAACGACCTAAAAAGTCAAGTATTGTAACCACGTTTATTATAATGAAATTAACTTCGAAAATAAAATATCCAAAAATCACTAATTAAATTACCTATTATGTTAGATATGATTAAACTGTGATCGTACGTAAAAAGAATGCCCAAATCTGACTTCGTATAAGGAAGTTATGAATTTTCCAAGTTCGGCTTAGCAACGGACAACTAAAAACTCGAAACGGAGATCGAGCGACTTTTGACCGGAATAACCTAAATGAGAATCGAAGGTCTCAATAATGGTTTTTCAACGGTAAAAAGTCTGGCAAAAACAGACGTCAGATAATGAAGTTATGAATTTCTAACGAAATTTTCTTACCGCGACCTTTTAAAAATAAATAATAAAAATAATTTCAAATTTTTCCGATGGAATCTAAACGAAAGTTGTAGAGTATAGTCTCACCTACGCGTGGATATAAAGAACGTTGAAAACGGAGTTCGTATGAAAAAGATATGAATTTTTGAAGTTTATTAAATAATAAAAATATAATTTTTATGTTTAATTTCAGTATATCCGAAGGCTGAGTCACGGGCCGAGTACGCCCAGCGTACTCGAGGCCTAGGCCTCGGATCGTCCACGTCGCCCCTATGCGAGGCTATGCCCCGTCCCATCCGGAGTCCGAAGCAGTCGAGGATGCAGTCACGCATGACGTACGAGTACGCCCAGCATACTCGCGTACGCCCAACGTACCGAGGCGGTTCTCACCCCCTATAAAAGAGATGCGAGGGTTCCGAAGAAAGTGGCCAATTCCTCTCATCTTTCTTGCGTTTTTGCCTCGTTTTCCGTGCACGTGCTATCCCGAAGTCCCGGTTACCTTGCTCAAGTCCCGAAGGTCGTTTGTGCTCCCGAGATTCCTGAGAATCCCGAGAAAATCCACTTTCTCGAGTCAAAATTATGCTCGGTTTTCATCTCGCCTTCTTCGATCTTTCAAGTGAGTTCATACCCCTATAATCCACACTTTTAAATGTTTTATAAATACTTTTTATGCTTTTTAGGGGGGGCGGGGGAATACAAGTAAAACACTCGATTATTATTATGTGTTATATAAAGTTTCATTATACGCTTTTTATCAATAGAATCATATGTGATTTATAACTATTATAGGGAAACTTTCGTATGCAAATTATACCACGATAAGATCTTATCTTTTGAAATAAGAAATGATTTATGTATTTATGTAAATCAAACACTCTGTTTATACTACGGGTATATGTGTCTAGTTTTAGGCACTACAAAAATTATACTTTTCATGACCAGTGAGCATTTCAATAGGTATTACTATACAAACGAAACGGACTTTTAGAAAACTATAATAGGTATAGTTTTACGAGAACACTACGAAGTTTTACATACTGGAAATATTATTTCAAGAAGTTACTTTCATATACAAGAACGAACGAACATTTTCACACGTAAATCTATTTTATACTAAGTTTTGTGAGACATTAAACTTCACGTACGCTCGAGTACGCATTTCAAGTCCTGTATTATATACCAGAATCCCTTGGAGGGGGAGCATGGTGTTTGTGTATAGATCTATACGGGATTGACAACCCCGCACCCTGACTGTTAGCTACAGTACACCATTTGGGGTGACAAACGTCAGAACATTCCAACGCTTGAAGAACGTTGTGTATAGGCATTTCTAGTCAATAGCATGGTTATAAAACTCACATAGAGTATTTAAAACACATTGATTTACGGGGTTTTTCAGACGTATTGGAGGTTTTATACGTACATAAATTAACTACTTTAGGCATGAAAAACCTAATTGGGATACAAGTTTGGAACTTCTAAACCACTACTCGCAGATGGGAAAACATCAACTTTCTAACAAACGTTGGTCTTGATTTAAGGCTACATTTATACCAGTAGGAAATATGGGATTTTCTAGAAACTAACAAACAAAAGCAAACCATTTCATTTTAGTTCATACAAATACTATCATTTAATACTTATGAAACTCACCAGCTTAAATGCTGATCTACTCTTTCAAAACTACTTGTATGTCCCATGGACTCAGTAATTGCAGGTACCAAACAGCTTTTTGAAGAAGGAACGTTGCGGCGCCAGTTTAAATTCATATTTTTCGCATCATATTGTAATTGGTTTTGAACATGTACTCTTTTAACAATGTAAACTTTCAATTATATATATGATGGTTATATTGCTTTCTTTACTATGTATTCATTTGTTACGTTACCACATGAAGTCATCCGCCCTCGAACGTTTCCGCCGTTCCGGTTTGGGGGTGTGACAAAATCCATTGTCTTCTAATAAAACCATACACCCATATTAAAAAATAAAATCAACAAAACAACTTGAAATTTGAAAACACTAACTTTAAAAGAAAAAATCTGACCAATAAGGATTGTTGATAAGCTTTTAAATTCTGAAAACAACATAAACAGGAATATTAGATGATTTCATCTTGTTATCAACTGGTTTGTGCAGTATCCCAACCTACACATGACTCACTAAATTTATAACCAAATAAATATCTCTTAAATATTATTTTAGTAATTTTCTAAAAATATAGTAACTATCAAATGTGTTATTCAAAAAAAATAATAACTATCAAGTGATTTAACTATCATAAACTTACAACAAAAAGAATAAAAAGGCATCAAGAAAATCAAACATATTGTATTTACTTTCCATGTAAGTGTATTGTAATGAACCATTTTCCTAAGTTACCTTCAAACATGTGAAGTCAGTAGCAAGAACAAAAGAAAAAATGTTACCTGTCATGTTATTTCCCAGTCAACTGGCATGGGCCTTGTCTCCAAGCAAGCTCCAATTACTAAACAAACCATATAATTAGTAGTTTTAAAAAAATCATATATAGTTAAATATGAAATTGAAGCATAATTTATTGAAAAGAAAACTTACCATAATGAACAAAAAACAGAATGAACAACTTGAAAATCACCATAACAGCAAACTGAAAGTTAGTAACCATAAATGACGAAGGTAAACAAATGTAGATGGATTTGGTGTAGTGAAGATCACCTGACAAATCCATTTTATTTATTCCTTTTTACGTTCCAAGTCCGGATCTATCAATGGAGACCAAATGTTCATTAGGATCCAACTAACAAAATACTTCATGAGAAAACAAATCCAAGAAAACTAAACATATGTAACCATTAGATCAAACCTAAATCAGAGCATAAAAAGACGTTGGTTTTTAGAGATCTGGTAACAGATGGCATTCATGGTGATGGAATTTAGGTTGTACATAGAAATAGAAGAAGATTAAGTGGTGCGGTTAGGGTTTATGAGCGAGAGAGAAAGAGAGAGAGAGAGAGAGAGAGAGAGATAGAGAGAGAAAGCTAGCTGAGAGTTGGCATACCTAATGGTGTGGCTATTATTTTTAGAGGTGGTGACCGGTGCGAATATGTGTTCGTGATGCGCTGGTGTGCTGGTGGTTCGACTGTGGCGGTATGGAAGAGGCAAGTGGTGGAGGAGGTGATTAGGGTGGTTGTACGGTTTAGCAGAGGCAGTACGGTGGATGGTTGGAAGATTTTCTCGTGGTAGTGGTGCGATTTAGCATAAGCGGAATCTTGAGAAGATGGGGAGGGGTTTACCATGAACGAATTTTGGAGCAAGAGCATCGGAAGCAGGTACTGAGAGAGGAAATTCCTTATAGATTGTATCTCCTGTTGATCAATTCAATCGGCTGAATGGATGGTACCATATATGTAGTATGAGAGGGGAAAGGGATGAGATTTTATTTATAATTACCTACAACTATCGTTGGAAGACTTCTATGGTGGTAGAAGATAAACAAAATAGGTATATGAGGGCTGCGATGTATCAATATTTACCAGTGGTGGAAGCAAACCAGGGGAAACGATGGTTAGGAGACGATGAGAGAGAGAGTGAGAGAGAGGATGAGAGAGAGAGACTATGTGGAAATGCTTTATAAAGTGTATAGGGAAGACAAACCAGAAATGAGACATTTTTGCAGAAATTTAAGCACGCAGACCGGGTCAAAAGCCTAGAAACTTTGAGATTGAATTTGAGTTTTAGAACTTTTGAATTACGTATTGACTTTTTGACTTTGACCAGATAAGATTAGATACTTTTTGATGCTTAAAATGGTTGTATATACTGTTGATTACCTTGTACCTCTTAAAATTCAGCAAAACATGCTAAACGCTTTTTAAGGTATAAATATAAATATAAATATATATATATATATATATATATATATATATATATATATATATATATATTGATAATTATGCCTCTCTTTTTTTAAGAGAGAAAAATACAAATCTATGTTTCAAAAAACGCATGATCTTTGGCTCGTAGTTTCCCACATAAAATAGAACGAAGGGTGATCTTATCTATAAAAGTCAATTCATTGATTAAATGGGATGCTATTATAACTACCCCAACACACACTCACATAAATTATTAAATCATAAGGGTTACACGCATTATTTCAATCACAATGAGGTATACTAAGCACTTTGAGAGGGGGGACGTATAGAATTTCACATTAAAAAGTATGATTAAAGGTCTAATTTACTTCAATCAAATAATTCTTTATAATAGCAAGTACTTTCCAGTTATGCGTCTTACGCGTAAAATATTATAAAATCAAATTAAAAAGACAATGTTGTATTTGTTACATTTAACCCATGGTTTAAAAAAAATCATGAAACTTTTGTAAAACTTACAACATTATTCTTTTAAATTTATTTTCTTACTAAGAAATCGTCAGGTAGCATGGCTACCAAAGGTGCTTAAAAGTTAAAATGCCAAGGCAACTTGAGTTACTCAACCCATATCATAAATCGCCAATGACTATTCGCCTATAAACCCACAAGGGGTGTCGTCCCTTAACACATGTTGTTCATCTTCTTCGGGGTTAAAGTCGTCTTCTATAACTATATATTTTTATAATTGATATATACTTGAATTGAAAGTACCACAATCCTTTTGGTTTGCCCTCAGAACCTAGCAATTGGACATGCTTATTTTAGAGAGAGAGATTAATTTATTATGTGAATAATAAATTAAATAAATGGTTTATTAATGTGTTATGAAAATAATATATTAATTAGAAATCGTATTATTTAATTAATAATTAATCAGAAACTAATTGAAATTAATTTTGGGATTAATTGTATCAATTAAAAGTATATGGACCATTTTGTTATTGATTAATAGTTGAGAAATGAAGGCTCTAGAACCTCTTGAAAGGGGTGGACAAAAATCTCTAAGGAAACCCTAGGAGATTTCTTCCAAGGCCCCTGGACAAAGGGATTGGGCTGCTTGGTCATCAATCAAAGGATCTAGGGCATATCCCTTTAACCCTAGCTTTGACACCAAGTTTCCTCAACTATACAAGGAGTTCCTTAGCCTTGATTTCGTCCATGCCTTCCCTTCACGAGCATTGGATGAAATTTGTAACACCGTGATTTTCAAGGCAAAATTTTCATTTAGTTAATCAAATTAATATTAAATCACTTGTTTAAAATCTCATACACCTTTGAATTACAAAAACATAGTTCCATTTTCACTTAGTAGAAAACCAGGATCCTCCAGAATACAACTCTTTCTTTGGTGTGTACAATCGAGCCGGTGCCATCCCGCGTTACTGAAAGAACCTGAAACAACATACATAAAACACTGTAAGCACAAAGCTTAGTGAATTCCCCAATATACACCTTACGCACATACGCCTTTCCAGGCCCTGACCTTCCGGTCCACTGCACAATGCCTTCCAGCCCATGAGATAATCGCCTTCCGGCCCATAACGTGTTGCCTTCCGGCCCATAGTACATTGCCTTCCGGCCCATAACATATTGCCTTCCGGCCCATAACATATTGCCTTCCAGCCCATAACATATTGCCTTCCGGCCCAAAAACATATACGGCACATAATACATTTACTCTAACACATAAAGCACATATATCATATATCATACCTGACCTTGCTGTCACATAACGCTTTGCCTTCCGGTCCATATAAACATGCATATCACACGTAGCAACTAACTTTCCATTTATAGCATATATACATAACACATAACATATTCGACCTTCCGGTCACACAATCAAACCCTTCCAGGTACAGTATAGTGAGAAGACTCACTTCGTGGATGCTGGAAGCTAGCAACTCCTGAAATCCCTCGTACCCGATCCGTCGTGCTACAGACTCCCTGCAATATCGTACGTCCCTTATTAACACTTTTATCTTTCAAGACAACTGACCCTAAGAAATCACACCTAGGTCAAATCTGGTCAACAATCCACGATCAACTCGACCGGACTCGGCGAGTACCCTGGCGACTCGGCGAGTCTAGTCATCCTCCAGACCTCTAAAGTTTCCCTTCTACTCGTCGAGTATCCTCCTTGACCCGACGAGTTACTCCTGGAAGAATCGCGGGGCCACCCCGACTCCACTCGCCGAGTCTGAAGAACAACTCGACGAGTCCCAGCTATTCTTCAAGCTACTCGCCGAGTCTGCTCATCCGACTCGGCGAGTCCATGCCATGCAGTCGATCAAACTGCTTCCTAAGATCAGAATCGTCCCGACCAATCATAGGTCTGGTCCTCCTAAGCTGGTCCATCACAAAAGGCCTTCATTTAGGTGCTCATGCTACACCCCAAGACTCATAATTCCCATGTTAACCTAAGGCATAAGGATTTCAATCCAAAACCTTCACCAATTCCCGAAATGCACAGACCTGGGATCTTCTGGACCTCCAAGGGTCCCAACACAGGGTTACAATCGTTTGGGGGACAAGGGTAACCATTAATCTAATCACAAAAGGGTTCCATAAACCCTAATCCTCTAAATATATCAACATAACAGAGTATACCCGAATTCATACTTGGATAATGTATTCTCTGTGTCCCCAATCTTCAGCATGTGACTCCCTTGCTGTTCCTTTAGCCAAAACCTTCCCTTCCTTGCACAACAACTCCTTCACAATCACCCATGGCCTCTAACCTTGCTCCAGATGCACACAATCGGTTTAGGGCTCCTCTCAGACGGCTAAAAGGGAACAATGACGGCCAATGATCCCCTTTATACGTCCCAAACCTGAACGGTTAGGGTTTTCGCTAAACATCGCAGACTCGCCGAGTCCCTATCTGGACTCGTCGAGTCCAGTCGCGAACCCGCGACCCGATCTGCGATCCTACTCGGCGAGTCTGGCTCCAACTCACCGAGTCCCCCCTTTAAAACACCCCAAAATGTAATTTTAACAATACTTGATATTTCGGGCTGTTACAATTCTCCCCCACTAGAATCAGACTTCGCCCTCGAAGTCTCACTCTGAAAATAGTCCCGGATGCTGCTCCCGCATCTCACGTTCCGGCTCCCCAGTCACTTCTGATCCCTTCCGAGGTTGCCACTGAACCAATACCAGAGGTACCTCCTTGTTCCTCAGAACCTTGATCTTCCGATCCCTGATGGCCACTGGCCTCTCAGCGTAACTCAGGCTCGCATCCACCTAATTGTTCTCTAGTGGAACCACTGCTGACTCATCGGCTATACACTTCTTCAATTGCGACACATGAAAAGTGTCATGGATCTATCCCAATTCCGTTGGCAGCTCCAAACGGTAGGCCACCCGCCCTACCCTCGCATATTCACGAAAAGGCCTAACATACCGGGGCCCCAACTTGCCCCTCTTCCTGAATCGAATCACTCCTTTCCAAGGAGAGGCCTTCAAGAGTACGAAGTCGCCGACCTGAAACTCATGCTCGAAACGGCGTCTGACTGCATAACTTTTCTGTCAGCTCTAGGCGATCAATAACACCTGTTTAACCTGCTGAATCTGCTCTGTCGACTGAAGCACTATCTTTGTACTGTCCACCACTCCCTGTAACCGAGAATTACCCAAGATGCAACTCTGCTCCAAATCTCAACGATCACTCGGCCCATCAGGGTTAGGAAACCATGAATCACCGGATCCCCGATCCAAAGCCCACTTTATCCATTTCGAAACGACTGCGAGATCCATTCTCACTCTCAGAGCAATTCTCACGAGTTCTACTCTTGCAAACACATACACATGCTGCACTAGTCCCAACATACCTTTCTCTTCCCTTACCTAGGGAATCCGCTTGACAACCTTGCCACTACTCCATGCTTCACATGCTCTGGATCTGCTCGCAAGGACTCTCGGGTCCATGCATTACCCTTCCTCAGTGAATGAGGGTCCAACATTACTTCCTATGCAACAGCTCAAAGGGCGGCATCCAATGCACTAATGATGGCTGTTGATATGGGACAACTCAACCAATGATAAATACGTATCGCGGCTTCCTCCGAAATCTAATACACATGCCCGAAGCATGTCTTCGAGCGTCCGTATCGTTCATCCACTCTAAAGTGTCCTCAGATGTCATCATGATAAGCTCCTTTCCCATATCCCTCTTCAAGACTGGGTACCAGATCAGCTTTTGGCTCCACAACTGCGCCCCCAACGGTCACCCATATTGTGATCCAAATATCCCACTAACTTTCTCCCCGTGACCACTATCCCGGCCCGGTGACACGCAAGTCACGAAATCCTCTTTTCCTCATGAGAGAAAAAATACAATCCAACCGAGGATCGTCTCAACTCTAATCTCTGATTTCTGCTGC